CCTTTTTCACCCTGTTCCCCAGCCCTGCTTCCATCTATCAGCCAGTAAATCTAGTACCCTTCTGACAGCATACATCGTTATTACAGTATTACTGACTATATTCCTTAAGCTATACTCTACATCCCCTTAGCTACTTTGTAAAAACCAATTTGTACTTCATAATCCCTTCCCCTTTTTTTACTCATCCCCTCAACCCCCTTCCCATCTGGCAGCCATCAAAATCTTCTTTGTTTCTATGAGTTTCTTTCTGTTTTGTTTGTTTATTTTGTTCTTTAGATTTCACATACAAGCGAAATCACATTGCATCTGTCTTTCTCTGTCTGACATACTCCACTCAGCCCAGTACCCTCCTAGTCCATCCATGCCACTGCAGATAGCAAGAACCCATTCCCTTCCATGGCTGAGCAATATTCCATTGTATATATGTACCACCTCTTCTTTATCCATTCATCCATCAACAGACACCCAGGCTGCCTCCACATCTTGGCCATTGTAAACAATGCTGCAATGAACATATGGGTGTACATGTCCCCTCAAAGTAGTGTTTTGGGTTTCTTCAGATAAATACCCTGAGGTGGGATTACTGGGTCCTCCTTTGTCTCTTTTTATAGCCTTTGTTTTAATGTCTATTTTATCTGGTATAAGTATTGCCACCCCATCTTTGTTTTCTTTCCATTTTCATGAAATAACTTTTCCCATCCCTTTGCTTTCAGTCTGTGTGTGTCTTTCAATCTGAAGTGAGTCTCTTGTAGCAGCATATGTAAAGGTTTTGTTTTCTTATTCATTCAGCCACCATGTGTTTTTGACTGGAGCATTTAATCCACTTACATTTAAAGTAATCGTTGATAGATATGTAGTTATTGCCATTGTATTACTCAAATTTATTTTGTTTTTCATCTTAAGCCCCTCTAAGATTCCTGTAATACTGGTTTGGTGGTGATGAACTCCTTTAGCTTTTTGTTGTCTGGGAAGATCTTTATCTGTCCTTTGATTTTAAATCATAGCTTTGTTGAGTAATCTTGGTTGTAGATCCTTGCTTTTCATCACATTGAATATTTTCTGCTGAACCCTTCTGGCCTGCAAAGTCTTTGTTGAGAAATCAGCTGACAATCTTATGGGAGCTCCTTTGTAAGTCACCAGTTGCCTTTCTCTTGCTGCACTTAGGATTCTCTCTTTGTCTTTAACCTTTGCCGTTTTAATTATAATGTGTCCTAGTGTAGGCCTATTTGGGTTCATCTTGTTTGGGACTCTGTGCTTCCAGGCCTTGTGTCCATTTTCCCTCACCAGGTTAGGAAAGTTTTCAGTCACTATTTCTTCAAATAGGTTCTCAATCATTTGCTTTCTGTCTTCTCCTTCTGGTACCCCTATGATGCAAATGTTGTTATGCTAGATGTTGTCCCAGAGGTCTCTTAAACTGTCTTTATTTTTGAAAATTTTTATTCTTTTTTTCCTTTTGCTGTTCTTATTGGGTTTTTTATGCTACCTTGTCTTCCAAATTGCTGATTCACTCCTCTGCTTCATCTAGCTTGCTGGTGATTTGTTCTAGTGCATTCTTCATTTTAGTCATTATGTTCTTCACTCTAACTGGTTCTTTTTTACTCATATAGTTTTTGTGTCCTTTTTTTATCTTGCTACCTGTTTGTTCATGTTCTCACTAAGTTCCCTGAGCATCCTTATAATCAGTGTTTAGAACTCTGTCTCTGGGAGATTGCTTGCCTGCATTTCATTTAGTTCTTTTTCTGGAGTTTTCTGTTCTTTCACTTGGGATGTATTTCTTTGGTTCCTCATTTTGGCTGCCTCTCTGTGTTTGTTTCTATGTGTTAGGTAGATATGCTACATCTCATAGTCTTGCCAGGTGGCCTTATGTAGTAGGCATTCTGTGGAGCCCAGTGGCACAGTCTCCATGGTCACCTGAGCTGGGTGCTCTAGGAGTGTCCCTCATGTGGGTTGTGGGTGCTCTTCTATTATAGTTGAGCCTTGATTGCTATTGGCATGTCTGTGGCATACCCATCAGGCTGACTGGGTATGGGGTTTTGCCACATTCACAGCTTACAAGCTGCTGTGTGGGGGCTTTACTACATGGAGTGGGATTTGCCCCAGTGGGCTCTGGTGCCTGTTGACACTGTCATTTGGGTGTGCTACATGTGGGTCTCATAGGTTGGTGCTCTGCTGTGGTCTGAAGCCAATCTCCAAGTATGTTGGTTCTGGTGTCTCTTGGGAGGGGCTCTGGTGCAAGCTTAGGTTAGTCATTGCCTGTGACAAGCCAGGGTCTACCTGGTAAGAGCTACAAAGTGATCCATGGTTGGTTGCTGCCTGTTCTGAACCGGAATGTGTGTGGGAGAGGCCACGCTATGAACCAAGGATGACTGCCACCAGTACTGGGTCTGGGGTAGGTCTACAAAAAGCCAGGATATACTGAGGCCTGCTGTCAGTTGCTGGCTCCTGTAATGTTCAGTTGCTGATAAAGCCTCATGTGGTAGGGAGTTGGGTGTGGCAGGGTCTCAGGGAGTCACCAAGGTGGAGCAAGCGGAGCTCACCAGACCAATTCAGATTCAGATGTGGCCATGGATGTGAAGGAGGGCTCAACACAAGAAAGATGGTGCCCACCTGCTGGCTGCATGGGAAGAAGACCCCACACAGGCAAAATGATGACTGTCCTCCAGCCCTTGTCCAAAGCTACACACCTATGTGTGGCCCCCGTATATCTCCAATGCCCCCGAGTCACTGTCCCTGCACCAGAGCCCAGGATTAATACCTGCAAGCAAATCTGTGTGGGCCCTTTAAGAGGATGTTTGGGTTTTTCACAGCCTTCCATCTCACCCAGACAGTCGGAATCCCCACTGTTTTTCACAGCCAGATGTTGTGAGGGCTCCTCTTCCCAGCACCAGTTTTCTGGACTGGGGAGCCTGGTGTGGGGCTGGGGTCCCTTGCTTCTCTGTGGGGAACCCCTGTGGCTGAAATCTCCCTCGGAATTCTCATCCACTACACGGAGGTTTGAGGCAAGCCTGTTTTGCATCTCCTCCCCTCCTACCAGTCTTGATGTGGCTTCTTCTTTATATCCTTAGTTATGAGACTTTAGTTATAAAACTTCTGTTCAGCTAGACTTCAGATGGTTCTTCAGGTTGATTATTCTGTAGTTTAGTTGTAATTTTGATGTTGTCTTGGGATGAGGCAAGCACTGTATTTATCTACTCTGCCATCTTAGATCTCCTCAAGCTTATACTGTTCTTGAAGCTCAGATTTAATACATTTTATATGTCCAGATGCTTCACTGTTGCAGAATTCACATGGGCTTTAAATACTGTCTTCATGCTGATGATACTCAGGTTAATCTGCCAGCCCTGTCCTTTCCCTTAACTCCTTGTAGATGCTCAGTAAAGTTTTGTCAAATGAACCATCATTGTGTTTTAGATGTTTGCTTCTACTGAGATGTATCTTTTTAAAATATTTATTCTTTTATTTATTCTATAAAGTCAATCATTATGCTTAACTTCTAAAATTAAGGAAAGGAAAAGGATTCTCTGGACTCAAGTTCCTGAGGATTATTTCTTTTCTTGTTTTTCCCTTTTTTTTTTCTTTTTTACAATTGCAGTGATCTTCCAATTTCTAAGTAACATTAAAGTTCAAGGTTTATAGAAATAAATTTTACAGCCAGTTTTGAGTACTGTGTAGTACTATTCATCATTTTTTAAAGAAATGGTGGTGGTAGTATTTTAACTTTTCTAATTTACCGCTGTAAGAATCCTTTGCCTTCCTTATTCATATACCTCTGCATACGTAGTGTTACTTTAGTTAGGAGATATTTCCACATTCATTTCACATGTAGACCAGTGTTTGACATCAGATTTATATTAAAAAAATAATGCCATATGCTACCACCCAAGCCATGAAGTGAATACTTTTTTCTCCTCTATTTCAACTTTGGGCCTCCCCTCTTACTCCTCTTTTTCTCATATGATTGTCACCAAAAGCCAGATTCCTACGTGATTCTCAGATAGAAATACTCAATATGTTTTACATATTTATAAATGCATAGTTGAGTAACTGTCTATAAAAGATTTCTTTTTTGCAACATCTGGTGACCAAATCACTATAGATGAAGATTATTTGAAGATATGTATCACATGCGTTCCAGAGAACATGGTCTTTTATGGGGAAACAACAGAGCATGAAAAATAATTGATACCAAGTCTGAGGTTTCTGAGGTATTTTGGAGGCCAGAAGAGGATACTGTTAGTGTTTTCTTAGAGATCCTCAGGTTCAGTGCCCATTTGTGGAAGTTTGTACGAACTGTTTGTGAACAATACTTGTGTTCCTCATATTTGCTTTTTATTAGATATATATTTTGCATGTCAAAGAGGCTACCATTGGCAATTGCCTTTGATCAGACTTAGGAAAAGAATTTGATGAGAATGCCTTAAAGCTTTCAATTTTATAAGCTAAAAGTATTATAGCACTGTAAATTATCCTTTGTACTTTAAACCTTGCAAACATGGCCTGTTTGTCAGTTTTAAACTATGATGACTGTTTCCAGTAAATCTGACTATAAAAATAAAGAAGAATACTTGTTTATAGAGAGGTTATTAAACAGATGATTGTAGATTATCATTCTTTAGTCCTAAGAGAAACCCACTCCAATGCAGATTCTCATCCTCCTGCATATAAAGTATTTGGCACTCAGTCCTATACATTTATTAATTGTTTCATAAGGGTGAGCTCAAGGTTTTTGTTATTGTTGTTGTTTATTTTTGCTTAGCAAAAGAAGAGTGGGTATTGAGGTCATTTTCCAAAAGTGTTTTCCCTGGAAAGTTCTAATTAAAAAGGAATAAAGTAATCCATTTATATATATTCATACTGGGCAAAACTAGGGAATCACAGGAGACATTTTGTCCCTCATTTTGAGGACGCTCACATTTCATTGGTCACATATGTCTTTATCACAAAAAAAGGAGAACTCATTTTGTATATATTGACAAGTTAGAATTTTTTGTTGTCAACAGGTTTGGCAAACATCGAAAAGATGACAAGATTGAGAAAACGGGTAAAATAAAAATACAGGACTCCCTTACATCAGAAGAGGAGAGAATACGAATGAAGCAGGAGCAGGAGAGGTAGACTTCAGTTATTTGATTAAACCTCATTAGACAGAGGTTCTTCTTCTTTCTGCTCTTCTTTTTTTTTTTAATACGAAGAATTTGCATTTAATTGATTTTTATTTTTTTCTGTGTCAATCCAAATACTTATTGTGGTGGGATGAATACAACATAAAGAAAGATTACAAGAAAAACCTTACATTTATTTGCGGCATTAAAATGAATTTTATTGGTTTTAGTTAAGATATTTTGCATAGGAGATAGTAGGGCATTAGATGCATAAATTAATACTGAATTTATGATCACTTTTAACATCACAAAGAAATATTTAAAATCCTGTTTCATCTATGAGTATGTAGTATAATAATTTTTAAAAAGTACACATCTGGAAATAAAACTATTTGAATTTTTATGTCTCATTTAAAATATTTTGATTTATAATAAGAATTGAGGGGGCTGTTAGTTTTTTACTATGTTGTTGTCCTTTCAAACTGATATATATTTTTTTCTCTTTCTATTTCACTATCCTCACATTTTGTGACATTTTTTACTTAAATTTTATTCCATCTCTTACAGAAAGATTGTTATTGTTGGGGAGAAAAAATTTCTCTTAGACCCTTCTAGGTTTTTCTGGCTGATCTAAAAATTAAATTGACATGTGCCAGATTAGCAGGAGTAAATCAAGTTATATCATGTATGGGGCGTCCATAAGAATGTGAGGCCCCCAGGTAGTCTGGCAATCAAGGCTTATATGCTATTTTGAGCTAAAGAGAAGAGGGTAGGTGTCTGGGACTTCAAAGGGGAGGAAAACAATTTACAGGAAGATGGAAAAACAAACGTTTCGTAAACAAATGTTTGTCACACCATGTAGAGACAAGGGGACACAGAGAGGACTTTGAACAACCAGGCCTTACTAATAAGTTCCCCCAGTTTTCCACCCCTGCCCCATATTCTTCATAGTTATCTCTGTTGATAGTTCTTTTTCTGGACCAAGCCCTCTATCTAAATTCTTTTAGGCAGTTAAGGGGGAGGTGGAAGCTTTTCCTGAGTTTTTCGAGCCTCAGTTGTCTTCAGCTCAGAATAATCTGCATGTCAAGCATATTCTGGGTAGATTTGTTCTGAACACTTATATTATCTGTTGAATCATTCCATGTTCAGAACCCAAAGACCAATGAAATGAAAATGAATGAAGAGTTACTTTAAGCAGACACTTGAAAACCATTTTTATAAGTGATTAGAATATTTCTCATTATAATTCCCAGGGGATGAAAAAGCATCTCACACTTTTGTTATTAAGAGTTTGCAGGCCTACCGTGAGTGCCTCTGTATTATCACATTTCATTTTCAAAGCTGCCACAGAAGAGATACTATGTGTTTTATAATCTGGGATGTAAGGGAGTTTCTGGTGCCTTGATCAAGGTTATAAAGCAAAATATTATCTATCGCTAGTATTATAACCCAGCATTTTTAGCACCAAGTCTAATGTTTTACTACAATCCTTGATCTGTGGCACTTTTGGTCTTATGTTAAACAATGAATGAAAGAACTGAAAATAATATCCTACCACAGTTTTCTATAAAAGCTATTAATGTTTGGACATTTTTCCATTCATCTTTTTAATACTGCTGAGCTTTCTTCTTTTGGCTAGCATAGTTACTCTGATTGTAGCTTTTCAAAGTATAAAATATTTAAGTGGAAAAAAATATGGACATCTAATTTATGATGCAAGTCTGGGTTTATTCTTCTGCCTCTTTCCCAATTTTTATTTTCTAAAAATCATTGTGCCTTTCTTGATTTCTAGGACTCTCTAATCCTCACCAATTTGGGATCCCCAAACTTATTAATTACTTACTGTTTTTAAGCCAAGGCATGTGGTGTTCCTTAGCTGTGTAATATGGCATTTAATCACTCAATAGTATAAACTTCTAAACTAAGAGGCTTTCTTGTCTCTAAATGAAGAGTATATACTAGGTAAATGTATGAACTCAGACTGATCCACAGGCAAATAAGTGATTTGGTTAGAGAACAATCTCAGTGATAGAAAGAAACATTATACTTCTTCCCTGTCATGATGCCAGCCAAAGGGAATAGCTTTGTTAATCCTATACCATTTTTCATATTCTAAATATTCCTTCTTTATAGTTTAAGATTACGGCTGTGTTTCATTGCAGAATTCTATCAATATTTTCCAAAATACTTTTATAATGCATAGTCAAATATTTCCAGCTAGACAATGATTTTTACGTAATCATTTCACTTGTATTTTTAATTTGCCTAAGGCACATTCACTTCTCAGTTTTGCTTTTAATTTCCACCTCTATACCTCTAATGATGCAACACTTCTGGGAACTAGGTAGATCATAATGAATTTACAACATACAGGAGGCCTAAGAATAAAAATCTTTTAGGGTCAAGGAACAAGTGAATGGTCCATTAAAAAATCAATTAGCTTCATAATTTAAGAAAACTATTATACTTCAACTTCGTATTTCAATAAGAATTTTTATAAGTATGTTTTATTTAAACTCATGGGTCTTATAATAGTGCAAGTGAGAATGCATGAATTACATAAGTGGAGCGTGTTTAGCGCTTGTTATTTTGATAGAGAAAGCCTTCTTTTGTATGTCCTTGCTAGTCTGTCTGTTGGCATTGGCAAAGCTCCTTTTGAGATTGGAAACTGCAAATTCTTTGGGAAGAATTTGATTGGAAAACTCAATAAAAGTAAATAAACCACTGCTTATATTCTCATCACAGTCTTTACTTCACTGCTGATTAGTTGTAAAGCATCCCCTATAACATTATTTACCACTGTAGCTATGAGTTCCAAAAATTATTTTGGCTGATTCCATGTAAAACTTGACATCCCTTAGTTATTAGCCATGACACATTCACATACCAAAATAGTTATTTGTCTGTACACATCCATGAAGTCAAGATATAAATATTGAAAATATAAATATTACTCAAGATATAAATATTGAAAAATTAAAAGGACAATGGACATAATTTAAAATGTTTTCCTACCTTGTTAAGATCTATTTAGATCGTGAAAGGGAATTAGATTCTTCTTAGCATGGTTCTGAGATTGAATTTGACTTCATTCTTGCTAACGTCCTCCTCTTTCCTTACGCTCACTGCCATCACTGGGAGAGGAGTCACGATACATGCTGCCCGACTAGGAGAATGGATGAGGAAGGTTGCTGTGTGGATCTGTCCTCTGGCCATACTAGTCTTGCCCTGCCACAGACTTGAGCTTGCGTGCATAAGGCTTCTAGAGAAGTGGGGAGTCTGGGGATGATGCCAGGGGTGAAGTTAACTGGTCCTGCGATGTGCTATTGTGACTTCCAGCTCTGAGCTTTGCAGCCAGGTACCCAAGCCTTTCAGAGATGCTGTTGACCACATTTTGGTCTAGGGAGGGAAACTAAGCAAAGCAATTGGTGTTTGGAACTGAGGTGTGAATTCAGTGCTCGCTGCCTCTTACTGGTTCTTCATTCGGGCATGCCTAGGGACAGAGCCCCTGTTGTCTCATTTCTACCACACAAAAGGATTGGGCTCCAAACCCTACATGTGACATGTTCAATTAAAGGAGCTGTGGATCTTCAGGTTTACTTAGCTTCCATTATGAAGCACAGTGATGGATTTTTTTCTGTTGACCAACTGTCAGAAGTAACATTTTGACTTTCTTTTGTGCTATTGCTCCAGTGATATCTCCACTTATGGTTTTGATGGTTGGTGTATAAACAGTGTACAGTGCAGGGTTTCCCCAAAAAAACGTTCAGCAGCAGAAGAGGGTTCCATGTGCAAATATGTTTAAGAAATACTTAGTTAAACCAACGTATGCATATTTCTTTACTCCATTGTTTCTCAAAACCCTAACTATGTTAAGGTACCTTATGAGTCATCAAGATAGGAATAGAGAATCAACCTTTGGCTCCTGGTCCAACCTTTCCCTCCCCCTCACTCATCTAACTGGCTGTGGAAGTCTGTTGATTGTTTCATAGAATCATGAGCAAGTTTAGAGCCACGGTGGTGACCTGCCTCTATTTTATGGCTTCTGCTGTGTGTACTTATGATGTTTGTTCCATCTTTCTTTTTTAATTTCCTCTTCCCGACATGTTTCTCACCTGTTTAAAACACATACATTTTAAGGTCTAATTCTAAATTTATTCTAATTCTAAATCTATAGAAAATATGAAGAAAAAATAAGAAAATAAAAACTTATCTGTAATAATACCACGGTGAACATACTGGTCTATGCCATTCTATTTTTTTTCCCTATAAACTACATATTTCCACACATACTTTTAAAAAGTTAACATCTATTTTCATTTTGATTTATTTTTCATTTTTACATGTTCTTAGAAAATAATGTTAAATGTTTTCTGGAACAAGGCCAAGTCTGTATGAACAGATGAATGGATGAGAAGGAAGAACAGAAAGAAGGAAAGAAGGCCTGAAAGATGAAATATTAGCTGTGATATCTGGCCAAACTCTCCCAACTCTAAAATAATATTTACCTCATATGTTACTCATTCTATTAAATGAGATTTATAATGTTAACTGGCTTGCATTTTGTAGTTACTCAGCAAGGGACACCTATTATGATGTTATTATCTATATTTACCTAATAAGTTGTGCTTGGAAATATTTCCAAGGCGATTGAATGCTTGTAGTGGAGACATGAAAAAGATAATGAATTTCTTATAAAATCCTCCCAGTATATTAAAGGTATTTATAAATCTGCTAAGAATATGTATGGCTTGAAACGTTCCATTATTCAAAATGATAATCACCATTCAAAGCCTTGTGTTTTCAATACAAAGCCATTGAACTGTGTCCCTAAGCTGTATACTCCCAGTTTTTATGTATAATTTTCAAGCTTTTGTGACATTTCTGCATTTGGTTCGAATTCACGATATTTCTCTTTTCAGTTTTACTGTTACCATTATCTGCTTTGAGTAATTAGTTTAAACTTTGATAAAAACTTTTTTGTAGTGCCTCTTCATTGGTAAGATCCT